AAACGTATCAAAAAAAATTAACGGCATCATATATTAAAAAATGGATAGAGTTTAATGTGGAGCTTTATCGATCGAGAGAATGTCCCGTTGACGGAATACAAGTCCGCGTGGGTATAGGCGTGTCAACGTGTAATATAGCATACTATAAATGCAATTGCATATGCAGCCACACGCTACGAACGTACGAGTAGTACAACGTCAACGCGTATCCTGACACCGGTTCAGTTCACTTCACTTTCATCATCAAAAACCAATTTACATGTATAATAAAACATAATAGGCCTCTCTGCATGTTATAAATTTATAATTATGAGAATGCTTAAAACGCATCCCGTCATGTACCGCGTAAACGTACACAGATTCAGATTTAAGTCTATGTGAGTACCAAGTTTCAGGATTTTCAGAGAAGTTAACTAACAAGAACGAAGTTTCAACAGCAGCAGCTCTGTAAAAAGCTGAAAGTGATTGCAGATTTTGCAGGTGCCTTGCCTGGTTGATTCTTTGATGAAGAAGCCTGGTTGCTGGACATGCTGTTCTGTTCTGAGCAGAGCAACTGCCCTGTATGGCTGAGTTCGGAAGTGAGTGAGGGTTGACAACCCTAGCTCCCAACACGCAAAACAGAGTGGCGGTTAGTGCATGATTTATTAAATATTAGCTGAAATAAATTTTAAAAATAGATTAATTTAATTTTTAAAATAACTTTTCTATAGAATTTTTTTTCAAAATACGCACCGTTTAGTACTTTGGGAAGCATGCGCGCAAAAAACGAAGAAGGTGAGTTAGGAAAGATCGGGAAAGAACATAGCCATGTACCGTGTACTCGTGTGTAGTGCTTTGCATCGAAGCACATATTCCCCTATAGGTGCCGGTTGGGAACGGGTAATAGGTGCCGGTTTCCTAGCCGACACCAATTGGTCAGCACCAATGACCTAGTGTTATTGGTGCCAGTCATAGAACCGTCACCTTTGTGCTCTTCCGGATTAAAAAAAAAAAAGAAGCTGGCTCCAAGCCGAGCCGATGCGCATCAATAATCCCCATTCAAGCATGCTTTCACATATCACAAATCAAGCAGATGAACAATAATAATCTCCATTCAAGCAATCCCTAATTCAATCCATCACCAATCACAGATATGAACATCAACAATCTCCATCACAAATCATCAACAACAAACAACAATAGTTCCCATCACAGATGAAGAACACAAGCAAGATGCACAAACTCACTCGTCAATCCACCAAGGTCACCGCCGGGGTCCCTCTCCATGTGAGGTCACCGCCGAGGTCCCTCTCCGCACGAGGTCGCCGCCGAGGTCCCTCTCCACATGAGGTGGCCGCTAGCCACCGGGTCCCTCTCCGCACGAGATCGTCGCCAGCCGCTAGGTCCCTGTCCATGCCGAGGTCGCCGCACCCATACATCCCTCCCCACGCTGAGGTCGCCGCCGGTGGGGAGGCCGCCCATCGCAGGCGACACTGCTCGCCAGTTAGGAGGGGGCGGGAGGGGAGTATGGCGGATCGGAGGAGGAGGAGAGGGGGGAGGGGGGCCAAAGGGGAGGGGGAGGGGAGGGCGTGGCGGAGGAAGGGGCGAGGGGGAGAGCGCACAGAAGAGCCCGGGGGGGGGGGAGGGGATAAGGATAAGGATCGAGCAACGCGCGTAGATAGGCCAGGTCGATCGGCTCGTCTCGCCTAGATCGGCTTGATTTAGAATAGGTGCTGGTTTTTTTACAGAACTGATACCTATAATATATTATAGGTTATTATATTATAGGTGTTAGTTTTTTAACTAACCGTATCAGTTTTAACTAATAAACCGGCACCTATATTTCTTAATTAAAGATATCGGAGGTGGGAAAAGACTTATAAGTATCAGTTTTAAATGAATCGGCATCTATAAGCCGGTTGGTTTTTTAGTAGTGATTCAAACGAACACACACTTAGTTCACTTGGAAGCCAATCATGATTAATTTGTATATTGCAGTCCGGATCATCAATCTGCTATCATCGATGGGCTTTAGAAATCAGGCATGCTTTTATATGTTTCAGTCAAGTAACGTACGGCATGGCACGCATGCTACATGTTTTGTGAGATTTGCGAAAGGAAAAATGCTATGCGTACTTATCAATGATCTAACGTGAATAAGACGGACGTACGGCACACCATTAATAAACGCATAAGCGTTTCATAGTACGAATATCGTAAACACCCAGATCGTACGTATAGCAGCGTTGATTTGTGAAACAACACACTGCAGTCTGCAAAACCGTTCAGTTATTTTGTTCAGGGTGTTCAGAGTGGTACAGTGTGCGCTGAAAGCACTAGTTACACGGATTAGACAAAGCCAGTGTACGAATGAGCATATGTACAATTTGGTTGTAATTAAGCAGCACAATGTCAATGCCTCATAGATTTTTATATATAGGTAATAAGAACAAATGTCATCTGCGTTACTGCTAGTGGCAAATGTTTTTTGTCATCAGTCTGGCTGTATCTGCTGCTTTTTTGCGATGGATGCATGGTCAAATGCCTGAGCTCGAGTACGTGGTATTGATACTTGACCTGGCCTTATGCAGCATCATTATCAAATATTAAACTCACATATATAATCCAAACGTAACAGTCAGGCCAAGTCAGAAAATTTAAAGGTTCACTAGCAGGGATTTATCCAGCAAAAGTCATAATGTGTTTAAAACCACTCCATTTTGTATTACTCGTTCGCGAAGGGCAATACTGCTGCATCTCGTCACACTAGTACATATATTTACATATACAAGTGTCATTTTGCAATATATAATTGCATGGTCTCCCTGCCTGCACTATAAATAACCGTGCAGTCTTGCTTTGGCATCCATATCTCATCCTTCAACCGGAATAAGCTCAAAATGGCTGGAAACAAGCTTCTGGCTATTACCTTCTTCGTGCTACTAAGTATTGGAGTATCCAATGCGAGGATGGGGGTGGTAGCTAGATACGCCGCCGGCGGCGGTGGCGGTGGTGGTGGGGGAGGTGGTGGTGGCCAAACAGGAGGATATGTGCCTTATTATGGACCTTACTATGCTGGAGGTGGTGGGGGCGGAGGCGGAGGCGGTGGAGGCAGGTGGTGGCGGTGGCGGTGGAGGTGGTGGAGGTGGTTATTATGGACCATATGGACCTTACTATGGACCTTACTACGGACCTTACTATGGACCTTATGCTAGTGGCGGAGCAGCTGCGAGTGGTGGTGGCGGCGGTGGTGGTGGAGGCGGTGGGTATGGTTATGGTGCTGGCGGGGGATATGGTCAAGCTGGTGGGCCTTATTATGGACCTTATGCTAGCGGTGGTGGTGGCGGCGGTGCAGGTGGCGGTGGAGGCGGCGGGTATGGTTATGGTGCTGGCGGTGGATATGGTCAAGCTGGTGGGCCATATTATGGACCTTATGCTAGCGGCGGCGGTGGTGGTGGCGGCGGCGGAGGTGGTGGGAGCGGTCCAGGTGGTAGTGGCTACGGAGGCGGCTCAGGAAGCGGGTCTGGTGGTGGGCACCCATAAAACCCTCATCTGAATTAAAGTACTGAATTAAAGTTTTGTGTGCTGGTACTACACATGATAAATTAGATGTTTTGTGTGCTGCAACTAATATATGGAATAAAGGCCTTGCCTTTGGCTGTATATGAATGTGTGGTTGTGTAATCAATTTGTAAGTTCTTACTTGTTGTCTTACCATATGATGATGAAGCATAATCAATCTTTGGCTCTATATAATACCACTAAATTAATAAGTACCTCACACAAACCATGTCTCCTACTCTACTGCCGTTGAATTCCGAAGAAACTAAATGAGGTTTCATGTTCCAGCACGGTAAACTTACCAAAACAAACCAGTATAGAACTTTAAATCTTATTGTCAACAATATAAGTTGAAATTTGATCAAACAGATACACTACGGTTTTAATTCTCCAACATCGATCATTTAAGTGCTGATCAAGGTTTACATTACCGGTTGACCACTAAATTTCGAGCCCTATCGGTGTCACAGTTTTTGATAAATTTCGACCAAATCTACTGTTTAACCTTCGAAATTCCAATCGAAACTTAATTCCGAGCCATATCGAAACGTCGAAATTTCACGGAATTTGACCGGTTTTCGTCGGAATCGTGAACCCGGTGCTGATCATGAACTGGATGAGCTGGTCGATCGGCTTTTCTGAGGACACACATCAACTGTGGCGTTCAGCCGGTCAGTTATTGGGCTTCGGCTACTATGGGCTGCTTTTGCAAAGAAACATGCATGCATGGCTACATGGGCCGTTGGATCCTTGGGTATTACAAATTTTCAAATATAATGTTATTGGGTTTTTTTTATTCAAGCTTCGATTTTTTTTTCGGCCCAACCAAAGGTTTCTCACGTTCAATAAGCGTATACCGACAAAAAAAAATGGCTTATATATAACTACTTAGACCGATCTAGATCCTATTGTTTTGGAACATAGAAATTCGTAAGAAGCAGATCAATTTATACATGAATAAGAAGAAAAAGTCAGCGTTGCAGATCGTCTTCATTGTCAGTCTGAACAATGCACGTCTGTGCAGGGGACTCTATACCCAGGGATCCTACGTTAAGTAGACAAATTCTGAGCCATTCTGTTTGCCTTCTTGGTCGGCGCCTCCCTTATACATTTGACATCTGAAGAAGATGCTGCTTTCAGTACTAATAATAACTAGTACTCCAGTAAACAATGCACTGATATTTCATCACAGTAAATTAACAATCTAGTGCTGTGACTGATCATTAAATTCTTACTACATCAGATGCTCGATCGCTGTGATATTCGATCCAGCACTCGTATTAATGATTTGATTCTTTCCTTCCCAAATCAATATCATCAACTGATCATACTTCATTATTTAAAATATCTCCTTTGTAGGCGTGCATTTTTGTAATTACTCTCACTAACACTATATACTATAAATACATCACTATTACTCACATAGAAGTCCATCTTCCACTTCTCTTACTCCGCTCACAATGGATGCCACTAAGCTCGCAATTCTTGGCTTCACTATGCTCTTATTGATCATTGGAGCGTCTAGCGCCACGAGAGTAAATAGGTATTCCAGCACTGGTGTCGAAGTTGGAAGCGGAGGTGGTGGTGGAGGAGGAGGTGGTGGTAGCTCAGAAAATGGTGGCGGGTGGGGATCTGGTTCTGGGGCAGGACATGGAGAGGCTAGAGCTTATGGGCCTTCTAGTGGAGCATATGCTAGTGCAACTGGTGGAGGAGGCGGTGGTGGGTCAAGCAATGGTAATGGTTGGGGATCAGGTTCAGGTTTTGGGTCTGGCTATGGGGAGTCTGTGGCATCTGGGCCTTCTAGCGGGCAATATGCTAGTGGAGGTGGAAAGGGTGGGGGCGGTGGCGGAGGGCGGAATGGAGGATTTGGTTATTGTTTGGGGTCTGGTTCTGGAAATAGTGAAGGGAAGAAATACAAACCTTATGATGGAGGGTATTCTATGGGAAGCGGTGGTGGCAAAGGTGGGGGTGGTGGGACAAACAGAGAATCAGGGTATGGTGCAGGGTCTGGCTCGGGTTATGGTGAAACTATTGGCTTTGGTGGTGCATCATTTGCACACGGTGGTGGTGGTGGCAAAGGCGGAGGTGGTGGACAACATGATGGGTTTGGTTCTAGTTCTGGTTTGGGCTCTAGGTATGGTGAATCTAGGGGTTATAGCCCTTATGATGGAAACTATGCCATGGGGGAGAGGAGGAGGTGGAGGGGAAGGTGGCGGACAAAATGGATATGGAGATGGCTATGGATCTGGGGTTGGATTTGGTCAATTTAACGGCGGCTGGCCATATAATAATTGATACTATAAGGCTGGTGGTCGAGGGAGTGGAGGTGGTGGTGGGTACGGTGGACCTAATAGATTTGGACATGGATTTGGTTCCGGCGTTGGTATAGGTGAGGCTGGTAATCAATACGGTGATGAGTATGCGAAGAGTAAAGGTGACGGTGGAGGTGCCGGTGATAGCGCTAGAGGTGGATATGGTGAAGGTTTAGGTCATGGATCGGGATATGGAGACACCGGTCCTCAACAGCCATGAAATTAACCTTTGTATAATTTGAATAAGATAGAATAAGTGAAAGCCCAACACCAATATAATGTAGCACATAGTTTTCATAGTCAGTATATTAAAAGGCTTCTTGTGTTTTGGTTATATATACTCCGTAAGTTGCAACCTTGTACACTCTAATCGTACATCGGATATTTTCCTGGTAACAGTTTTAACACTGTTTGCACTAGTAACCTATCGCTCATGAATACCACGTCCATGTGAGTACGCTTTGAATATGATATTAATGATTGAGGTCAGGAATTTGTTGTCGATCTTCATTCTTTAGACATGCGTTAGAGGACATATTTATAGATGTGTGCACGTGGTATACGTACATATATAATGCCCTTTTTTTGAGCAAAGGATCTTGGCACTCCATTTCTACGTACATAATGCGTATGCACACATGTATATCTATCTATTATATTATCAAAACAGCTTTGAAAGGAGGCACCACGTTCGCTGTGGGGGCTAAAAATTCCCACATTAATCAGAGAAAAAGAAAAAAAAGAAAAAGAGAGTCCAAGTAGGAATACAATTTAAAAATAGCTGAAATTCGGAATTAAAAGTAAGCAATATTGAAAGAAATTTCCATATAGGAACCCAATACGAGATTAATCAAAATTCGAAATAAAAATAAAATAAAATCCGAAATTAGCAAAAAAAGAGTCTAAGTAGGAATACAATTTAAAAATAGCTGAAATTAGGAATTAAAATAAGGAATATTAAAAGAAGAGTCCATACAATAACCCAATACGAGATTAATTAAAATTCGGAATAAAAAAAATAAATATCGAAATTAGAAAAAGGAAAAGAAAAGAATAGTTCAAGTAAGAATATAATTTAAAATTAACTAAAATTCGAAATTAAATATAAGCAATATTGAAATAAGAGTACATATAAGAACCCAATAGTAGATTAACTAAAATTCGGAATAAAAAATAAAATATAATCTGAAATTAGGAAAATTAAAAAGAGAGTTAAAGTAGAAATACAATTTTAAAACAACTGAAATTCAAAGTAAAAATAAAAAAAATCTAAAGAACACAATACGAAAAATAAAATAAATTCTGAAATTAGAAAAAGAAAAATAAGATATCAGCTAGGAATACAATTTATAAATAACTAAAATTGGTGATAAAAAAATAAAGATTACTAAAAGAAAAGACCATCTGAAACACATGACGAGATTAATTAAGTAACATGCAGTAGAGTGGTGGCGGTTGATGGAACATCTAAAAACTATTAATAAAACATCAAATAGAATATTAATGACGACTAAAAAGAAGTACAACGGGCAGGTCGTGAAGCAATCGGTCAAGGCGTTTGGCGGGTCTTCTAAAAAGTAAAAAAAAATAAACCCAATGATAATTATATTTGATTTTTACGTTCACTGTGGGGGCTAGAAATTTCCACATTAATCGAAGAAAAAGAAAAGAAGAGTCCAAGTAGAAATACAATCTAAAAATAGCTTAAATTCGAAATTAAAAGTAAGCAATATTGAAAGAAGAGTCCATAAAGGAACGCAATACGAGATTAATCTAAATTCGGAATAAAAATAAAATAAAATCCGAAATTAGCAAAAAAAAAATCTAAGTAAGAATATAATCTAAAAATAGCTGAAATTCGGAATTCAAAATAAGAAATATTGAAAGAAGATTCCATATAGGAACCCAATACGAGATTAATCAAAATTCGGAATAAAAATAAAATAAAATCTGAAATTAGCAAAAAAAAAAGAGTCCAAGTAGGATTACAATTTAAAAATAGCAGAAATTGGGAATTAAAAATAAGGAATATTGAAAGAAGAGTCCATATAAGAATCCAATACGAGATTAATTAAATTTCGGAATAAAAAATAAAAAAAATCAAAATTAGAAAAAAGAAAAGAAAAGAAGAGTTCAAGTAGGAATATAATTTAAAATTAACTTAAAATTTAAAATTTCAGAAAATTTGAAGGTAGGTGGCAGGACTTCTAGAAAGTAAAAAAATAAACCCAATGATAATCATATTTGATTTTTAAAATCTCAATAATAATAAAAATGAGAGGCAGCGGTCGAGTCGTATAGGAGTACAATGGCAAAGTCGCCGATGGTTGGTGAGTCTTCTATAAAGTAAAAATAAATAAATTCCAATGATAGTTATGTTTGACTTTTACAATCCTAATAAAGAGTATGCGGCGGACGGGTCATAGAGGAGTATAGTGGCAGCGTTTAATGGGATTTCTAGAAATTATAAAAGAAAAATGAAATCCAACAAGACAATAAACTCCAATTTTTAAAGGTTCGGGTTTCTAAAAAGTAAAAAAAAATAAACCCCAATGATAATCCTGTTTGATTTTAAAATCTCAATGACAATGAAGAAGGGCGGCAGCGGGTGAGTCGTAGAGGAGTACAGTGACAAAGTCGCTGACGTTTTGGCGGAACTTATAGAAAGTAAAAAAATAAACCTAAACGATAATTATGTTCGATTTTTAAAATAGCAATGACAATAGAGAGAAGATGCAGTGGACGATCATAGATGAGTATAATGGTAGTGTTTGACGGGACTTCTAGAAATTATAAAAAAGATGCCCAACAGGACAATAAACTCTAAAACCTATAAGTTTTTAGATCCAATTTTTAAAGATTCCAAGGAGAATGAATAGAAAACTGTGATAGATCGAGCAAACAAATAAAGAATAATATGACAGAAGTAAGGGGTAGCAACTGTTGTGACTTTAGAAACTAAAGAAATTAGAAACGCGAGGATAATAAGGTTTAGTCTTTAAAAATCTTAAGACAACGAGATAACTATTTAATAAATTTGAAGTAAAGTCATATTAAAAATATATAATTTTATATGGGTGCTAGCCGCGCAATTGCGCGGGCCATCCAGCTAGTTCCTTGTAATGTGAAAAAAAAATGATCAACATCATATTGATATGTAGTATTATATCCATTCTAAAATATAGTTATTTTTAGCACGGTAACTATTTCTTCACCTACTATCTCCTCTCAACCAATCGCAACCATTCTCTTCATCTACTTTATCTTATTCACCAATCGCAATATTCTCCAATCTTCTCTACTCACTCTCTTAATATCGATATCTACCTTAAAAATACTTACGCTCTGCAACGAAGAAAGTAGATAAACAACACTACACATTTCCATTGAACAGTTTCCTCTCTAATAAAATAATAGTAACACATACCAGCTCAGACTTCTGTTTGGTCATCTCGCCGTCACATACACGGACACGCTCGGCTGCCCCGTCCGCATGTAGCGGCAGCGCAGTCCCCAACGATCCTCGCGCGTGGTCTCGGCTGATAATAGATACAACTACCTTTCTAGCATCACCGATATTTATAGGAATAAGTTCACTTTAGGTCCCTTAACTTGTCAACGAATCCGATTTTCGTCCTCCATCCGCAAAACCAGATACAACGGGTCCCTTAACTTACAAAACCGGTGCAAATTTCGTCCTAAGGCAGTATGGCTAGCGGTTTAGTCCGACGTGGCGCTTTGACTTGTCGTACGTGGCGCTTTGACCGCTGAGTCAGCACGGCCGTTGGGGAATAAAGGCTTCTCGCGCATTCGGCGCCAATCCTCTCACATTTCAGAAACCCTAGCTTTTCGGCGTGTAGGTTGCAGCGATTCAGACGGCGGCGGCGTCGTGATTCGGACGGCGGAGGAGCGGCGATGGGAAGCTCAAGGAGTGAGGGGTCGTCGTCGTCTTCGGCCAGGCAACCGTATGGCTCGCCTATTCCCTATCGCGTTGGTCCGTTCGAGTACGAACCAGCGGTGCTGTGTCGGTGCGAACTGAAGGCGGCGAGGTGGATATCTTGGAGCGTCGACAACCCTGGTCGTCGGTATTTCAAGTGCCGCAATGCTCGGGTGAGTGAATTTGCCGTGTTAATTTTGGATTGGTTTTATTTCGGATTGGGGGCCTAAATATTAGGGTTTTTGACGCACAGAAAGGGGGCTGCGATTTTTATGCTTGGCATGATGGCCCGACAAGCAGCTTTCTGAGGGAGGTGTTGAATGATTTGCGAGGTGCTGTGCATTCTCTAAGGAGGGAGAAGGCAGATGCAGTGAAGGAGGTTGAGGAACTTCGTGTGAAGTCTGAAGAGCAATGCAGGGAGTTTGCTTCAGTTGGGAGGGAGTTGGCTTCAGTGAGGGAGTTGGTTAGTGAGTTGGATGTGAAAAATGCTGTTTTAATTGATAGCAAATGTAGGTTAGAGAAGGAGCGAACTGTGCTCATTTGGTGCATCCTGTCATGTATGTGTGTTGTTATTCTATTAGTGCTGGGCAAGAACTGATATTGTGTGGGCATGGCCTCAATGTTTGATGGAAAAAAAATGTGTGGCAGAACTGTGAGGTGCAAAAATTTATCAATGAAATGTGAAGTTCTGAATGTCTTGCCAAAATTGCTGAATGCAATGTCATGTATGTGTGTTGTGTACAAATATGCAGCAATTATGTTTTGTATGATAGAAAAACAAATCTCAGCATAAATGTAGCCAATATAAATTAGGAAACATCACAGGAACCAAATGTCAGTCAACAGAGCTGCTTCAAATGTGGCATTGCATCAAAAATTGATTTGCATCACATTGTCAGTCACCAAATCTGGTTTGCATCTGGAGTAACAAATGTCATCAAATATTCTTTCTCAGCAGACATGCATTCACTAAACAAGTGTTATGTTTTGAGCACACATGCATATAATGAAAATCTGGAAGACAAACATTAGCAGTGCAAATAACATATCACAGTATTGGCTTAAAGGTTGCCATTACATCACATAGGTCTTAGTTTGCGCAAAACACATAATAGATGGCCTAAAGTTTGGCATTACATCACAGAGGTCTCAGTTTGCACAAAATACATCATAGCTGGCTCAAAGTTTGCCATTACATCACAGAGCTGCTATACACAGCATTCCTAAAAGCTTGGCATTACAAATGACAATGCATCATAGTTTGTCAGATTCCCATGGAGGGAGAAGAAGCAGTGGTACTTTAGCTTTGTTCTTTGTAGTTGTCCTGGCAGGTTCTTGAGCTGAAACTATAGTTGGCCATGTGGGCCGCCCGGCTCGGCACGGCCCAGGCCCGGCCGTGCCTGGGCCGAGGCTTGTCGGGCCGGCACGGCCCGACCAACGCACCGGGCCGTGCCGTGCCAGCCCACGTGCCGCACTCACGGCCCAGGCACGGCCCAACACGCCTCGGGCCGTGCCGGGCCGGCCCGAAGGCACGATGGGCCGTCGTGCTTTTCCTCAGAATAAGTCTAAATTTCCTCCCTCCTATTGGGCTGTGACATATGTACAGCTACAAAAAGTCTATTTTACCTCCCTCTTCTTTGGGCTGGGGTATATAAATAGCTAAAATAAGTCTATTTAAGGTCCCTATTCTTTAGACAGTTACATTTATATGTCTATTTTTAGTCCCCATACTTTATGTACCGGGCCTGGCCTGCCGGCCCATCGTGCCGGGCCGGCCCGACCGTGCCGGGCCAGCCCAGCGTGCCGGTGGGGAGGCCTAGGCACGGCCCGACGGTCGGGCCGGGCCAGCACGGGCCCGACCCAAGTCGGGCCGTGCCGTGCTTGGGCCGGGCCAAAAAGGCGTGCCGTGGGCCGGGCCTTCGGGCCTCGGGCCTTATGGCCAACTATAGCTGAAACAGATACAGATGCTTTCCCTGAAGTAACAGTGACAACTGCACTTGTAGAGCTGTTGGAGCCTGCAACATTGGCCTGCAAATCAACCCTAGCTGAGCCACCAGAAGGTGTAGAAATTTTTGCCCTTGCATTCACTCTGACAATTTGGAGGGGCTCCATTTGTGCCTGTAGAATCAGATGAAGCACACATTAGTTTAAATCAAAATATGCACAATGAAATGGCATGGCTGATTTAGCTTACCTTTTTTTGTCGGCTTGGTTGCCTTTGACTGAGAGGCTGAAGTAGTGGTAGTCAAGGTGCCAGTTGCCTTCCTTTTTCTACTTTGTGCACAACTCTGGGGGGTGTTGGACAGTACAAGATTGTGGCTGGGTGTTGCAACCTGCTGTGAACTGCCACCTGCAGTTTGAGCTGGATTGTGTTTGTGACAGCTTGATTTGTTGTGGCCAACCTGCTTGCAAGTCCTGCATCTGACCTTGGTGCCAAATTTTGATGCCTTAGAAGGCTTAGCTGGCTCATGAGCCTCTCTCCTTCTTTCAGTTCTGGGCCTGCCTGGCATCTTTATATACCCAGGTGCAGTCAGTGGCTCCCTATCATCTTCTGGCCATGCATTCATGCCCTCCACTGGTAGTAGGCAATGCTTATATGTGCTCTTGAAAGCATCCACTTTGTAGCAATCAGCAGTGAACTCATCCAGTGTGTTAGTTCTGTAAAATATACATGCAATTGCATGGGGGCATGGAAGACCAGAGAGTTGCCAATACCTGCAAGAACACTCCTTCTTGTCCAGCTGCACAGTGAACCTATTGGTGTGGTGTTTTACCTCAAAGCTGTCAGCTCCATTGCATATAGCATGACAGTATGCTGACTCAGTGATATACACATTCAATTTCTTTAGGATCCCTGGACAGACCACAGTGTTCCATCTAGCAGAAACCTTTCTCTGCTCTGAAATCCTAACCATCACCTTCCTCCTTATTGTCTCTAGCATGGTTATAATTGGAAAAAATCTTGCTTCTAGGATCCATTTATTGAATGACTCACACATATTATTATCAACTGAATCGCAGTTTGAGCCTAACTTGAACCATGCACGGCTCCAATGTTCTGGATGGGTATTAAGTATGGCCTGTGCTCCAGCAGGTGTCACCTGTGCTAGCTTTGCCCTTGCCAGGTTGAAGAGCATCCTACATGGAGCTTTAGCACATCTCCAAAATTTCTTCTGGAATTCTTTGTCACTGAAATGCCTCTTCCAGTTTGCATAAATGTGCCTAGCACAATTTCTGTGTTCAGCTTGTGGTGCCCATTTCTCAACTGCATTGATGATTCCCTGCATTGTAAACAAAATTGCATTTAGTTATCATCTCACAAACATGCAGCATTTGAAAATTAATGTTAACACAATAATAATGTACCTTTTGTTGGTCTGAAATGAACACCCATCCAGTTCCATCCAACACTTTGAGGTCACTGCACAGCAAGTCCAAGAACCAGTCCCATTCTTCATTATTTTCCTTGTGCACAACAGCCCAGGCAATGGGGTACATCTGGTTATTTGCATCTCTACCTATAGCACACAACAGCTCTCCATTTGTTGCCCCCTTGAAGAAGCAGCCATCCAGGCCAACTACCTTCCTGCACCCATCTACAAACCCCCTTTTGCAGGCATCCAAGCATATGTAAATCCTTTTGAACACAGGTGGATCAGTGCCTATTTCCCTGTTGACAACTACTGTGCTGCCAGGGTTACTCCTAAGGAGCTCAAGCTGGTAGTTGTATAGCTTTTGATATTGCCCCTTGGTTGCATCCATTGCTTTCTTCATCACCATAGCTTTAGCCCTTTTCAGCTTTGGAACAGATGCTTCACCAAACATCTCCTCTTGGACAGTTGCCTTCATGTGGGCCAAATTCCACCCAGGGTTGGCAAGGATAATCTTTCCATACTTCTCTGCAATCCTAGTTGCTGTAACCATTTTGTTATCCCTTCTAGGTGGACATGCATGCAAGCTCTCAAGAGTAACTATCTGCCAGCTATCACTCCTAGTATTCTTGGACAGCAAGCATACCCAAGGACAGCTTGCCCAATCACATTTTGCCCTAACCCTCTTCAAGTCATCCTTGATGAAGTTTATAACCTTCCTCTCAGCTAGAGCATACTTAGTGACAGCTTTCTTAAACTGCTTCTTTGAGCTAAACTTCATGCCCAATTCAAAACAAGGAGTCCCTACCTTTTTTTTGTATCTTGGGAACTTATTTTCCTTAGTGCTAACCTCACCATCTGTGCCAATCTCCTCCATTGATTCATCCTCTGGGCTCTCAGCAGCAATGCCATCACCTTCCCCACCAGCTTCATTATTCATGTTTTGCCATCCTTGTCCTCCAAGATATACATCATCTAAATTATCCAGCTGTCCTGCCTTCACCTTTCTCTTCATATCCTTGTAGTGCTTCTCTATCTCTATGATCTCCTCATCATCATCTGACCCTGCATCATCTCCAGGAATGTACTCACTATTAGACTCACTCTCTGAAGGTGCCTGGCTTGCCAATGGATCATTGTCACAATTATAAACCACAAGTCGGTTCTCAGGAATTTCAGAACTAATGGCTTTGCCCTTCCTAACTTCATTTGTCTTGGTCCTAATTTCACCTCCTTCAAGAGCTACTGCATTTTCAGTACCCTCCATACCACCTTCTGCCACTTCCATCTCCTCTGAATCATCTTCACTCTCATCAGCCTCATAACTGCTGTCATCATCTGATGAGTCACATAGGTCAACTATGGTTGGCTCTTCAGCATATACCTCTGCCACACCTAAATCATCTATGCAATCTGCCATTAACTTACAAACCGTATCATCCAACAAAGCTCTAAGTCCACTATTCAAATCCTTCCCAGGGAACAACCAATGCAACATTGTACCTTCCATCACCTTACAGTGGTCTCGCAAGTGTCCAAATATCTCTGGCAGTGAAATCTTATCTCTATCAATATAGGACAATGCCTCTCTACCCCCACAATACTTCTTCTCCCTCCCAGATGTCACAAACTCCCCATTGAAATGGAACCTAACCACTAGTTTGTCCAGCAAATCCATCACACCAAACTACAACAGTCCTGCATGCACATTTTAGTAAACAATCAACCCGCTGCTTATTTAAATCCCCTACATACAGATCCCAAACATCCCTGTCCCCCCACTAGCAAATATAATAGCCCCAAATTCCATCGGATCCAACAATATTGTCCTACAAAACTACTAAATAACACCAAATCCAAGAGAATCCCCATAACAAAACTACTTAAATCGAGCCTACAGTGCTCAAAATAGCTTACCTGTGCTCCTCTATTTAACAACGCCGACGAGCTCCTGCTCCTGTGCGGCCACGCACTCCGCCGTGCGACGCTTAAGGCGGCCCTCGCCGTCGCCCTCTCCGCCTCCAACGGCGGCGCCGCGCCGCCCTAGCGCCGCTCCTCTCTTCGTCGCCCTCTCCGCCTCCAACTGCGGCGCCGCGCCCCTCTTCGTTGCCGGAGACAACTCGATCTAGGGTTCGCACTGAGAGAGGACCAGAACACGCGCCTTTTTTTCCCCTCGCTGCTGACTGTAAAACCGAACCCCCCACGGACGCTGACTCAGCGACGCGCTGACCGTGGTCAAAGCGCCACGTCGGACTAAACCGCTAGCCATACTGCCTTAGGACGAAATTTGCACCGGTTTTGTAAGTTAAGGGACCCGTTGTATCTGG